GTAACAAATTTTTGGTTTTGGAATTTCGCCCGCGGCCGACCGGCGCGTATGTCCGTGTTGCTTAGTGATAACTAGTGTATTGTGAAAACGCCCTAATATTTCATTTTTGTTATTTTTTGTTACGTGTTTCTTTTTTGTTACATTTTCACTTTTGTTTCGTTTTTGTCACAATGGTCAATTTAAATGATTTTCACCCCATATTGAAAATAGCACCAACGTATCATAGTAGCACGCTACTAAGACGCCAGTAACCAAAAATTCACGTATCATTGAGCTATGGCACTAAGAGGAAGAGTGGAGTATGCTTGTGGTACTTAAAAGTACTACCAAACACACTCTCCCCAATCCGAAAGAATCCGAAAGATAGAAGACGTATCATAACGCTATGCGCTAAGACGCCGCCTACAGTCGGTAGAGACATGCGATATCCACGGGCAAGTCGTATTGCTACGCTTACCACCGGCACTAAGATAATATGCCTAGGACATATCGATTAGCGAGTCCAAGTTTACCTCGGTCTCGGACACTGAAGCAGTATACACGCCACTATAATAATCCTTTTCAAGTCCCATTTCTACCATTATAGTGCTTCATCATCATCATCATCATTACAGCCCTTCACAAGTCCACTGCTGAACATAGGCCTCCCCCAAAGAATGCCACAAAGCACGGTCCTGAGCCACCTGCATCCATCGACTTCCTGCATGTCTTACCAGGTCGTCACTCCATCTCGTGGGGGTACGCCCTACACTTCGCCTACCGGTACGTGGCTGCCACTCGAGAACCTTTCTTCCCCATCGGTTGTCGGTTCTTCGAGCTATATGGCCGGCCCACTGCCACTTCAGCTTACTAATTCGTTGGGCTATGTCGGTCACTCTGGTTCTACTGCGGATATCCTCATTCCTAAGTTTATCACGCAGAGAAACTCCGAGCATAGCCCTCTCCATAGCTCGCTGAGCGACCTTGAGCTTCCTCATACGGCCAGCAGTGAAGGACCACGTCTCAGTTCCGTAAGTCATCACTGGCAACACGCACTGGTTGTACAATTTCGTTTTAAGGTTTTGAGGTATGTCTGACGAGAAGATGTGTCGTAGCTTCCCGAACGCTGCCCAGCCGAGTTGAATCCGTCGATTGTGCTTATACTTATATATATATATATATCAGACCTTCTACATACTTGTATTTGCTTTATTTCATAGACCTTACTGTTATATGTCTTTTATATATGGGACTTCAAGTCACAACTCTAAACTCACGAGCTATTATAATGCTTATGCATCTTAGAGACCTTCTATATTAATTACTTTACTATCACATGTATGTCACTGATACTACACATTTTGCAACACTACTTTAGTAGTCAGGCCAGCATTAAATGAACACGCTTCATATCTTTTTTTGAATTGAAATTTTTTTGACTCATTTCTCAATTATAATCGACTTGTATTTCTATTATCATAGATATCCACATCTGTCCTCGAATAACAATCAAAATGCAGATGCGTTATCATCCCAGAGGACTAAGATGGAATGCCTCGTTTCAACTACAAAGGAACTCTACCCTCACCATACGATTTTACGCTAATATTCTGTGAGAGCGTTGTCCTTTCCCAATCGATCTGACCCATTTATGCTACAATCCTAACATAGCTGAAGCATGTCTCTACCATTTAAAAGAGTACTCAATGTTTATCATTATTTTATTGAAACTACTATTGTTTCATTTCTATGTTTAATTTCTAATCTACAAAAATGTTTTGATTATCTATAAATAAACTGATAAAACTTTAATTATTGCAAAACCCTCACTGCCCGTATAATTTAAATAAAGAGATTTTTATATATTTATTAGTCAGATCTTAAAATTAATAATATCATAAAGTAGTTAATTATAGCACGAAATGGTGACATTTAATTAAATTTAACATTGTTTTTTGATTATATCATGATATAGCCTGATTAAATCAATGAATAGATATCGTTTGGCGATATTAACAACTAAACACAACATTGCTATTTCTTCATATTGTTATATCGTAAAATAATTTCATTACACTCCGCTAGCAGCGCTGATAGCGTATTTTTGACAGAAGCAGAATTTTTAATAGAATATAATTTTATCATAATTTATGTATTATATAAATGTTACCGGCTTTGTTGTGTGAGACGGCACCCCATTCGCACCTCAATTGTCGCTGAGTGCTATTGGGTACAATTTTTGCTTTTATAGTTTTAATCTCATAGTACCGCCATCTACCTACTGCTAAATAAACTAATAATAAGTGATGAAATTAATGAGAATTCTATTGAATAATTTATTTTTATTCTAGCATCAAAAATTGTCAGTCTTAAAATATCCAAACCGGTGTCGGGCTGATTTATCCTTATTGTCAAAGAACTGTGTACACAAAACTGTGATTATGATAGAATGTCTTTAGTTAAATAAGTTGGGTGTCTATCAGCATAGCAATATTTCACTAACTTCTTTTTGTATGAAAATCGATGTAAGTAATTGAAAATTAAGTGGACTGTAAAATTTTGCGTATCTAAATGATGGAATAGTTTGATTGACTAATTACAATGTAGATGGGGTCCCCAATAGTGCAAAAGCTTATTTTTATCGTTTATGAGTTTAAGTAAGCAAATACGAGAGCTGTGTAGCCCGCCGTAAGATTTCAAAGCACAGGACCAAAAGAGTTCGATTCCAGGCCCAATGAAACTACTACTACTACCCACCTATTGAGATTTTTGTGTCAGTTCCGGTTTCATAGCTGACATGAATAAATGAGCAGGCTCTTGCGAACAAGTACTATAAATATCAAAGACAGCAAATTTTAAACACATGTTTATTTTAATTTTAACTATGAGTAAATCTACATTGATAGAATCTTGAAAGTTATACGGTAATCGAACCGAACGTACGCAACCCAGGAGTTTGAGTTAAGTCGCAGTCCTATATTATCTGAGATCAGAACAACATCGTCAACATAAAGAATTTTCTAAGGCAGTGGATTTTGAAAATGTTTGAAATGAGATGCTCCGTAGTAGTATTAAATAGTAATGGGTTAAGCATGGGACCCTGATGCATTCCAAAGTGAATATCAAAGGTTTCGCCTCTGCCTGTGGGACTTAAGATTTGGGTGGTGATATCTTTACACATGTTTTGTATGAGGTTGGTATTTGCGTAAAACCGAAAATTTCGGAAGCTAATGTCCTCTTCATTTTCATATTAAAATGTTTGTAGTTGTAAAGGTAATTTTTTACATGTAAGAAAAGTAATCGTCTCATCAGGGTTCTCTGAACGATGTTATCCGAAGAGTTCTTGTCTCTATAAACGCTCGCTCAGTTTAAGAGTCTTGTGTAATATTTCAAGATGATGGCAGAAGATCCAACGGTGTGATTTTGGCCCCTTGGGGGGGTGGTAAAGCCCTTGTGTAAGATGCTGCGTGCGTAAACACTTTGGGATTTTTGGATTTTTTTCTCGCTCAAAGGTTAACGATAGCCATTCAGCAAGAAAATGCAGCCAGCGTTCTTGTCATTTCTTCTCGAGAAATAGAACAGATTGATTAATGAATTAATTATTTTGAGTTTTAGTATTTTTATTTTAATAAAAAATATTAATAATATAAAATTTATTATAATAATTATAGTTAATATTTAAACATCTTTCATTATTATACAATTTTAGTTCCGTTTGGTTTCATTGTCCTTGGATTTATATTTGAGCTTGAAAAATCAGCTTCATTAAACATTTTCGACGTAATGGAATTATAAAAACAAATGAGATATCCTATCATGGTATGACATTTTTAAAAAAAATATCGGTAAGAACCATCGCATTTGACATAGTAATCATTTATTTAGTGATTTTAGATGGTTTTCTTTTAAAATACGCTAATGAATATACATATGTAGGTATATTTTGTAAAAAGTAAAGTATAGTAACAGCTTATATAGGCACAAGTTTACAGCCTATATACACACAACAAGAATACACATGCTACGCTAGTGATGCACGTGTCACATCACTAGATAAAATCTGAAATCAAAGTTGCCCCGATACCCGAAAAGGTCAAAGAGAAACACTTGCGCTGGTGATTACATGTACGACGCAAGACTTCAATAAAGCCCCTTTATAACTAAACTAGCAAGCAGACTAAGCTCTGAGGCGTGTGCTGTAAAAAAGATTAAAATGTTACTAGACTTGAGAGAGCTAGATTTTCTTTTTTAGATATTTCCATAGCATAAAGCCTCAGGGGATTTTGCTATCATGAAGCTTGTTTACTATGCTCAGGTGAAGTAGACTCTGTGCTGGCTGACCGCTAAGACTCAGACTGCAGAGTCGTGAATGGTGCACGCAATTGAGGGAGATGGGATGTGCTGTTCAGACTAGGTAGGACATATTAATTTATTGTATCACGCGGATAGAAGCAAATTAATTTGTAAGATCTTTATAATGGATTTCCGTCAAGTAACGCTGATTCTATCAATTACATTGTTATGGTATGACACAACAATAATGTTTTCTAATCCAAAAGCTTGGATTGTTTTAACTGGCAAATATAAAGCATAGCTCAAAAACCTTATTAAACATAATATGAGAGCAGTACCCAAGCGTTCTTTTTCCAATAATGCACGTACAATAATAATGAGCAATTGCTTTTCATCCTAATGACCTATCTAAAAAGCGATTAATTACAATGTATTTGTAATACTATCTGGCTTTGACATGTCGTCCTCGAATTATCCATCGATCAGTTCCTTGTAACTCTGTCAGGTGTTCTTCCCGCAAATCATTATTGAGCTCAATTATGAATAATACGTTCTCCAAAATATATTCACCGTAATAGCTTTCGGCCTATTTTAATTGGTATACACCAAGAGTGAATAAAACAATTATCTATATTTATCCTAGGAAATAGGCTAACTAAGGCATTTCTGATTTCAGCTTAAATCACTTAAACAACTAGAAAAAATTACTAGGATTAGATCTTAAATATATGAAAAGACAGATTTTTCGAACTAAAACAAAACCAAAAACAATGGCTGTACGTATGTAAGCTTTGATACCATAACAATAATTGCTTAGACGGATAAGTTCTCACATAATAGAACAGTATTTTTTTGCCGCCACTTTCACATTTGGACCAAAACGGGATCATATCTTTTTATATTTTATTTATTAATAATTTTTTTTAATTAATTTATTAGGTTATTTTGTTCTAAGTAGCAGTTACTTACAAGTATTAATTATAATAATTTTAAAAAGGACTGTAATAAGATAAAATAAAATATAATTTATCTTTAATTCGGCAGTTTTAAATAAATTTGAAATTTTTTTCAGGATTAAAGAATCATGACCACTCTCCCCTCATGCGCCTAACATGCTTGGACTAGCAAAATCTTATTTAACCTAACTTGATGAAACATTGTCTTTTCATTTGTCTATATATAACAAAGTACCGTAGTCAGTAAATATTAATATAGTATATAACCTATTAATCTATTGGCACTTTGATTTAAACGGTTTTTCACTATGTATGACTATAATATGTGTAGTGTGATAATTAATAGAATCGGGCGTTACTTTGCGGAACTCCATTATATTAAATTTGTCAAACAATTATTTTGCGTACATCCGCTAGATAAAATAAAATGATGTGTCTTACCTAGTTTGAATAGCACCTCCCGCCCTCCCTCAATTGCGTGCACTATCCCCGTCACCACTAATCCCAGCACCACTACTCCCAAACTAGTGTAGTGGTGTTGGTAACATGTAAAGTGTAATCTATACAACAGATGCCATCCGTAGAGATCGTGATACTTGTTGATCTTAACGCCCAGCATGCCGAATGGCTCGAATCACGTTTACCAATCATGACTTTGCCTTGACATATGGTCTGATACGACTGGTTACTTCGCCTACGTGGATTCCAGATGTGGAGGATCATACACTTTCCCTGTTGGACCTTCTGCTGACTTCTCATCCGGATGGATATCAGGCTTCCATCGATGCTCCTCTCAGCTCTTCGGACCATTGTCTGATCCGAAGTGTGGTGCAACTCACGCTCCCCTCGCGGTTGCGGTCTGCAGGCTGCCGCCGTATTTGGCATTACACTGGACGGGACGAAATGCGGTCTTTGTTTGCATCCTACCCATGGGGGTGCTATGGTTTGCTGCTTTTCGGATGATGCCAGTGCTGTTGCTGCCTCTGTCACTAATACGGTGCTACAGGGAATGGAACTATTTATACACTACATATACATCATTTGTGTATACTACATATACATCATTTGTAACTACATATACATCATTTGTGTTACCCTTCGAAGCCAGATCTCAGCCTTGGTTTGGTCGCAGTAAGCAGAAGTGTTATCAGGCCTGGGCTGAGGCTTCGGCGGCTCGGGATGCTTAAAAAGAAGTATAACTTCGTCTCCAGGTCCTTCAAAATGGTCTTTTCTAAGACAAGGTCTAAGCACATCGGCAGAATTGGCGAGAAGCTAGTTTACCTTCCTTTGAGAACCTGTTCATTCTGGTCTGTGACAAAACTCGCGATACCATCCATACCATCTGGATGATTGGTGGTCCACCACTGTGCGATTTAGAAGAAGTTTTCTTCCTTGCACAATTTCTTTGTGGAATCGATTACCACCAGCGATTTTCCTGTACCGATACGACTTAGGGACCTTCAAAAAAAGAGCCTACTCCTTTTTAAAAGGTCTGCAACGCATCTGCAATTCCCCTGGTGTTGCAGTTGTTCATAGGCGGCGGTAGTCACCATCAGGTGAGCTGCATTCACCTTTGCCCCTCTTCTATAAAAGAAAACAAACAGAATTCTATATAAAAAAAAGTTCGAATGTGATTCGCATTTGCTCTCTATACCACTTTTGTAATTCCGCTGTTTGTATATATACATTACCCCAAGAATGAATTACTGACTCTGTGGAGTCAAGAAACTGGTATCACTAGCTTGTGTTTGTTCCTAGTGTTTACAGAATGTATATCACTTTTTTTACTAAAACTACCTTTGTTTTTGTGAACATACATTAAATTTTCGTAAATATACTGAGAGGCCAAAGTTAATATATTTATTCCTTTAAATTTATCTCTAAGAGACTCTCTCGGTTTTAGGTTGTAAATAGCTCTAATGGCCCTCTTCTGTAAAACAAAAATAGTTTTTGAATCAGCCGAATTTCCCCATAGCAAAATCCCATAAGACATTAAGCTATGGAAATAACTGAAATAAACTAATCTAGCTGTCTCGACACTAGTGAGACCTCTAATCTTTTTTACAGCATAGGCTGCAGAACTTAGTCTGCTTGCCAGTTTGGATATATGGGGGCCCCACTGAAGCTTTGCGTCGAAAGTGATGCCAACAAAACAGTGGATTCAACAGGGCACAGTTCTTCCCCATTTAAAAACACATTGGTATTCAGATTTTGAACATTCGTTGTTGTAAATTTAACACAATTAGTTTTATTTCCGTTGAAATGCAGATTATTAACGTTAAACCAATGCACTAATTTTGATATAGCATTATACACTTCGTCACATTTAAATGATTGACGTTTAAGTTTAAAAATCAAGGAAGTATCATCAGCAAATAATACTATATCATGACTATCCCCTACAAGGTGAGGTAAGTCATTAATATACACCAGAAACAGGAATGGGCCGAGAATCGAGCCCTGAGGTACACCCATTAGTACAGGTGACCCGGAAGAACTTTTACCATTGACAATAACTTTCTGTTTTCTATTACTTAAATATGAAATAATAAGTTTAAGCGCTGTGTTCTTGACACCATAGTACTGTAGCTTCCTGATTAATGTCTCATGGTGAACACAGTCGAAGGCCTTGGAAAGGTCACAAAATATACCCAAAGCATCCTCTGAATTCTCCCATGCACAAAAATATGTTTAATAAGCTCAACTCCAGCGTCAGTTGTCGAGCGACCCCTTGTAAAACCGAATTGATTTCTATATAGCAATTTATGAATATTAAAGAATCTTAACATCTGATCTAAAATAATTTTTTCAAAAATTTTACTAAATGTTGGTAGTACATAAATTGGTCTAAAATTGGCGGGGTCTAATGTACTACCAGATTTAAATAAAGGTATGAATTTAATATGTTTCATTAAATCAGGAAACACACAAGATTCGACGCTTTTATTAAATATAGTGGCTAGATAAGGTGCTATTATATCTATTATAGATAAAATAATTTTAAAGGAAATACCCTACAAATCTGTCGTTTTCTTAACGTCAATAGTTTTAAAATATTTAACGATATCTTTTGGCAGTACTCTATGGAATTTAAAAGTATTTGAACAAGACTTTACATTTTGTTTGAGCAATGATTCGGCGACAGTAGGAGAAGAGTTTATTGATTTATTTGTCAAAAAAGGAACATCAGTAAAATGTTTCTCAAAAGCCATAGCAACTTCTTGATCAGATCGAGTTAAATTATTGTTTATATTTAATTGAAAAGCCGAGTTGCACGGTTTGACCTTGCCCGTTTCACTATTTATTATTCTCCAGATCATTTTAATTTTGTTAGATGCAGTTTTAATTTTGTTACTTAAATGTAAATCCTTAGCTGTGGCGCACACTATTTTAAATATTTTAGAATATGTTTTTACATAATCTCTAAATATAACACTACTATTATATGATCTTTCATTATAAAGCTCGTATAACTTTCGCCTACTCTTATAAATTCCTACTGTCGCCCATTCATTAAATGATTTTCGACTGTTAAAAGATGAAGTTTTAGAAGTAAATATCCTAGTAATTTCACAAGTTATAATTTTAAATAACGTACCATACAACAAATAATTAGCACTGTTTTTAAATGAAATTGATGGAAGTCTTTTTATTATATTACTTCTAAACCTTTCCAAGCGACGTTCATTAATTGAAACAAACACAACTTTCTTATTTTTCTGTTTCTTGTGTTTGTAAGGCAATAATACCAACTGTCCACACTGATCTGAACTTAAATTTTGAATAATTGATTTATGCAAGGTCTGTAAAAATATTATCTATACAGGTCGCACTAGGCTCAGCAATACATGTTGGTTCTAAGAATAAATTTACAAGATTATACGATTTAAACAATGAGCTAAACCTAATACTAATGGAAGAAGTTTCAAGGAGATTGATGTTAAAGTCTACACATATTACAACAGACTTGTTTTGTTTACTAAGTTTGAGCAAAACTTCTTCCATAATCCTTTCAAAATAGTCATAAGTAGCACATGGGTGTCTGTAAACACTTACAACATGAGGTGCTCGAGCTCGACCCAAGCCATTTCTACAGTCCGCTTAACCCATATCTTCCCAGTGATCCATTTTTGGAACGGTAACATTGATATATTTTTTTTAAATATAAAAATTGCAAATCAGTATTTTTTTTGCATACGGGTAACACTGAATTAATTGTCTGTCGAAAGCGCGTACCAAAAAGTGCATTTCGCGCGATGTTTATTGTAAAATTACGTATTTTCTTGCAAATAATTATTGATTTTAGTATTATCTATAATATCTAATAGTAAAATGAATAAATGTGTTGAGTATTTAGTGTACATTATATGTTTTTTGATACTGTTCCATTTTTCAAACAATGGGAACATATTACTCTGTTAACATTGAGAAAATGTATGAATACTTTAGGCTTAGTATTTATGTAATAATATATAAATATTGCATGCTTTTTGTTTTAGGTTAACAGTAAATGATATAATTTCATATTTAGAAGATGATAATGATGTGCTGGAAGCTGACGTGTATATAACTCCCCCCGAAAATTTTGATAAGAGCGACGAAGACAGTGGTAATGAAGAATCTACTGATATCAATTGCTTGTCCCGGCATCAGTTATTAGCAGCAGCAGAACTTAGAGCCAAGGTATCTGTAGAGGGACGGATAGAGGAAATACATCAGCAAGAATCCCAAGAGGAACAGCCCACTTCAAGTACTTCACAAAACCCACCTGCTGAAAAACAAAGTAAGCGTACGGTTTCGAGGAAATGGCGAAATGTGGATATCCCACAAAAAGCAGAAAAAGAATGGACACCTCCAAGTTTCTTGCAAGATTTTCATAATCCACAAGATTTTTTTGAGTTGTTTTATGATGAAGATGTAATCGAACTACTACGGTCACAAACAGAACAAAATGCAAGGCAGAAAGGACACGTCAATTTCAAAGTTAGTTCTGACGAAATCAAGCGATTCATAGGTATCCTATTATTGTCTGGCTACAATGGTGTTGCTCGATACAGAATGTATTGGGAGCAAAGCATTGACTGTCATCACCCTGGTGTAGCAGCTTGTATGTCAAGGAATAGGTTTGAAGAACTACTGCGATTTTATCACGCATGCGACAACACTAACCTACAGCCAGGAGACAAATTTTGTAAGGTGCGTCCTTTGTGGGATCTTCTCAATCGAAGATGGCTCAAATATTTTCCAGGCGACAGAAATTTGAGTATAGACGAGTCGATGGTCCCATATTTTGGAAAACATCCCACTAAACAACATATTCATGGTAAGCCTATAAGATTCGGCTACAAAGTATGGGCTATTTGTACTCGATTGGGTTACCTAATTTATGGAGAACCATATCAAGGAGCCAGCACCGGAAACACACATCCATCCTTTGGAGTCGGCGGATCTGTAGTTCTTGATCTGATATCAAAACTTCCAGCTGGTAATTACAGCTTCTATATGGACAATTTTTTTACCTCAATACCTTTGTTGGCGGAAATAAAATCATTAGGACACGACGCCACTGGAACCATCCGGGGAAATAGAGTAGAAAATGCTCCGCTAAAAGATTCAAAAGACATGAAAAAAATGAAAAGAGGTTCATACAATCAAACCACAGATGTGTCATCAGATATTACATTAGTAAGATACAACGATAACAATATCGTAACAATTGCGTCAACTGAATGTGGAGTGGGACCAGTAGGCAAAGTAAAAAGATGGTGCGATAAACAGAAGAAAGAAGTGGACCAGCCACGCTGTTTCATAAGTTATAACAAGTATATGGGAGGTGTCGATCGATTAGATCAAAATGTTGGCTGTTATAGAATTGGCATAAGGTTGAAGAGATGGTACTGGCAACTACTCATGTTTCCTCTCAACGTAAGTATAAATAATGCTTACCAGCTATACAGGATGTCGCCAAGTGCTAAGGAAAAAGATTCCCATGACCTATTGTCCTTCACCAGGTATGTGGTGCAGTCGTACTTTATGACAAAATCTGTGACAAATAGCAGCGCATCATCCAATGGCACGATAACAAAAGCGAAGTATGTACCCAAATCTTCATTAGCTGTCATAAAACGGGTCCCTTCAAGCATTCGATTAGATCGAAAGGACCACTACATGGTGGATAACGGCAAGCAGAGCCGATGTGGATTATGTCATAAAAATACTACGAAAAAATGTGGCAAATGTGCGGTTGCTTTGCATGCTAAATGCTCGGAAGTATTTCATACGATCCCGTAATATTAAAACATTTAAAATATTTTTTTAATAAATTTATCTAAACTACTTCTTATCAAGCTTTTATTTGGTCTTCTTTACTTTCTATCTACAAAGAAAATACATTAGCACATGTTCCCAGTGTTCCATTAATGGATCGGTATTGTAATTCAGAAGGTCAATGACCGATATTTTTTTTAATTGTTTAAATATGTTACTTTGCCTTATAGTATAATCATATGTAAAAATTAAAAAAATCGGATAAGAGTTTATAGTGTTGGGAAGATATGGGTTAACAGAGAGGCTCACTATATCCTTACGTGCTTTATATAATAATGATTTATCTGCTAGTATTAAGGAGCCACCACTTAAACTTTTTTCTCTATTGAAGGAACTGTCCACCTGGTGATTTTTGAAATTAAACATGAAATTATAATCTTTTAAACAATGTTCAGTAATACAAAGGATATGTATGTTGTTACTATTTAAAAATAATTCAACTTCTAATTCTTTGCCCATCATGCTTTGTATATTTTGATGCACCAGGTGTAAACAATTTTCATTACTTATTTGTGGGCTGCATTCAAAGTTAACTAAACTCTTATTATTGCTAGAGATTGCCCCTATTGTTGCATTTACAACGTGAAGTCAGTCAACCCGCGTTGGGGTCAACTCAATAAACTCTTCTTATCCTAAAACTCGCTGCGGCCTGACCCCTGTAGTGGGATGTATGTAGGCTGCTAGTCTTTTAATTTTAATAGGCCTATTCACTATTGATCATAGGCTTCTCCCATTGTTTCTCAAATGGGCTAGATATTTGTAGTAGTAGCCACGCTTGGGAAGTGGGTTGGCAATCGCAGCTTTTTATTACTCTGCAGTGTTATCAAGAAGATGCTGCCATCCATCTCCTATTTGAGTTTCCCTTCTGTCGCCTATTACGACACCCACGAGACGGAATGAGGTATTGGTTTCTGTTTCGCCGCCTCTACATTGCCACAAATTACGAAAGAAGTTGGATATTAGCCGTTGTTGCCACACATAGCAGGCGGGTTGCCAACTGCTGTAATCATAAAGACACTACTGTCCATCTTCTCTATATTTCTACTCCCGTTCATGAATAAAGTCCCTGTCTCATGCTTTTTTTATAGGATAGGATGACAAACGAGCACACAGTATACCTCATGATTGCTGTGGCTCATAGACATCTACATCTATCCTCGCTTGCGAATCAAAATGCAGATGCGTTGTCACCCGTGAGGACTAAGATGGAATACCTCTTTTCCAGTAAAAAGGGTCTCCGGTTTTCTACACTCATCATACGAAACACAGCAGTTTTAAGCTGGTATTTGACGCTGGTATTCTGTGAGAGCGTGGTCCTTCCCCGGTCGAGCCGACCCGTTCATGCTACAACTATACTGCTAATATAGCTGCAGCATGGCTCAACCACGTATAAATCATCATCGTGAGTATATTCATCGTGAGTAGAACTACATTTATAAAATTTTTACTTTAATTGAAGTAGTATTAATGATATTCCCAAATTGAAGCCAACGCGAGCGAAGCCGCGGGTAAAAAGTTAGTGCTTAATATATCTCCTTGTATTAATAACTACTACGTCAAACTATGCCCTTTACTATCATTACTTTTTTACATATTTTAAACCAGCGCTTGACTACAATTCCAACTGATGGTAAGTGGTGGTCAATTGCATCTTATCTTATCGTAACAAAATCCTATTCATTATTTTGCCTTGAAAAGCTCAAACTGAATTTGGACGGAAAGACAAATGCTGGCAGATTATTCAACTTCTTTGCTATACTTATTAAAAAAGAACGCTTCAAGTGCGGAGAATTTTGATACCGAAGGGTTCCATCGAACCATGTGGTCGTTATCCGATGTTGGAAAGATGAGGGAGGAATTAAGACATGTATTTCCTGCGCACACTCTCCGAAATGCATCCTATAAAATACCGAGAGGCTAAAAATTATTATGTGTAGTAGTTTATTCAACGATAGACCAAAATACTTCACACATATGAAACACACATACTACCGTATAGTAACGGTGTAAGAATACCCACTGTGTGTTGATCCAATGAGAGTTGTAAGTGGTGACATAGGGAATCAAAACCAGGAGATAGGCAATAGCTTATTTCTAATAATAACAAGAAAATAAAAATTTTGGTTTCCAACCAGGATATCAAGCGTGGCAACCATAGCAGTAGGCAATCTATGATAAGCTCTATATTGAGCAGTCGACTCCCGTGTAGTGGCGGGTAAGAATACCCACTACCCAATATCTTCTCGTGGGTGTCGTAAGAGGTGACAGGGGGAAACTGAGGCAGAAGATGGGCAGCAGCATCTTTCTGATAACAGCAAAACAACATTAAAAAACAGTGGTTGCCAACCCGCTAGCTAGGCGTGGCAACTATGGCAATATACTCCCCATGACGAAAGTTACAAAAAGACGGCCCCCAGTTCGATTGCCACCTAAGAAAACTCGACCTGGCAACATACAACGCACGCACCCCGAGGACTGACGAGAAGATCCTGGAGTTGAAAGAAGAGATAGACTAGTTGCGCTGGAATATTATAGGATTATCTGAGGTCCCCATGGTCCCCCACGAGGACATGGTAATCTTCGAATTCGGCAACTTGCTTTATCACCGAGAGGGCGACCATTAGTCCCAAGGAGGTGTCAGATTTATCGTCAACAAGTATCTCGTTAACAACGTTGTAAAGATTGAGAGTGTGTAGGCGAGTATTGCGTACTTTATACTCAGAATCACAAAATGGTATTACAGGTCATACAGGTTTACGCACCAACCTCGGCACATCCCCATGAAGAGGTTGAGGAAATGTATGAGAATATATCTAGAGTCATGCATTCCTCCAAAACCCACTATATGGTGTTAATGGGAGACTTCAACGCAAAACTAGGCACAAGATAGACCGGTGAGCTGAAAGTAGGAAAATTTGGAATAGGGCAACGGAACCTAAGGGGCTGATTTCATGGAGAAAGGGGGACTCTTTATGAGAAAATCTTTCTTCCATAATGGGCCTCACAGGATGTGGACCTGGTCGAGCGCCGATGGTTCGACAAAAAATGAGATCGACTTCATTATGACGAACAGACGACAACTATTCAGTAAAGTCTCAGTGATCGCGAGGATGAAAACCGGTAGCGATCACCGAATGGTGAGAGGCACATTGAACCTAAACGTTAGATTGAATAGGACACGTCTAATCAAACGTAAAAGTCAACTCTCTAAGCTACAAAACCGTTTTCAGTGCCTAGAAGATTGTAATGCAGTGGACGATATGAATTAACAGCTCGTGGAAACTGGCCATGCAGTCGGAGCTAAGTTTTGCAAGACCGCAGAAGAACACAAAAACTGTCCGATCACACTCTTAACCTCATGGCTGTTAGACGGGAAATGAAGCTGCAGTTTTCAGTAGATTTGATAGCATACAGGCAACTGAACAGACAGATCTCCAAATGCATGCGGCGGGACTTACGTAACTTTAATACTGCTCGTATTGAATGAGCGATCGAACGGAACCAGGGCTCCAAAGTCTTTACTAAAGATCTGCCTGCCAGAAAGCGCCAACTGTCGAAGCTGAAAACCGAGTGTGGCGGCGTCATTTTCGGGACACCTGAGATTTTAAGTAAGATTGAGAGGTTCTATGGGCAGCTGTTAACATCATCGTTGGAGCCAGACGCAAGTGTGAGTAACGATCCAAGAGCAAGTCTTATCCAACACTATTTCAATGATATTCCGGACGTCAGTGTGAGTAAGATTAGAATGGCTCTCCAGCACCTTAAAAACGGCAAGGCCCCAGGCGAGGATGGAATTACAGCGGAGCTTCTGAAAGCAAGTGGAAAACCGCTACATGAAGTCCTCCAGAAACTTTTTAATTCCGTCCTCCATGGTGGCAGTACACCAGTTGCGTAGAGCAGAAGCCACCGCACTTCTGCAAATTTACTTCTTCTTCAGGTAAGGCGACAACGTTCTCTTGAAGAACTGCAGACTGATTTCTCTTCTAAGCCGCATCTACGTGCTGTTTTCGAGAGTCATTATGAATCACCTCGCATGCAGACTCGACGACTTCAGCCTCCCGAAAAATTCGGTTTCCAAAAAGGCTTTAGCACCATAGACCACAAACAAAAAAATTTTGGCAAATTGATCAAAAGTCCGAAGAGTACAAGTCCGAAGTCCGAAGTTTGCCACTGTGTCTGGCGTATGTGGACCATGAGAAAGCCTTTGATTTTGTCGAAATGTGGGTGGTGCTGCAGTCCCTTTAGCGGTGCCAAGTTGACTGTCGGTATATCGAAGTGCTGAAGTGTTTGTACAGGGGGGCTACGATGGCTATCCTTGTACAGAAACAGAGTACGAAACCTATCTACTGCACAGTAGTGTAAGATAGGTTAACGTTATATCCCCGAAACTCTAAACTGCTGCATGGGAAGACGTTTTCAAGCTTCTGGACTGGAAAGGATACGGTATTAATATCAACGGCATGTACATCACTCACCTTCAAGTTTTCGACGATATAGTCCTTATAGCAGACTCACTGGACGACCTAAGCACTATGCTCAATGACCTCGAAAGTGCCTCCCAACGGATAGGTCTTAAGATGAACATGAACAAAGCAAAGATCATGTATAGCTTCCATGTCACACCTATGCCGGTAGTTGTTGAGACTACTAAGCTCGAAAATGTTAACGAGTATGTTTAACTGGGACAAATAATCCGACTAGGTAAGTCTAACTTCGATCTAGAGGTCAGTCGGTGAATTCAACTCGCCTGAGCAGTGTTTGGGAAACTACGACACATCTTCTCGTCAGGTATAGACTGTACAACCAGTGCGTGTTGCCAGTCATGACCTATGGAGCTGAGAGGTGTTTCTTTACTGCTTGCCGGAGGAGGAAGCTTAAGGTCGCTTAGCGAGCCATGGAGAGTGCTATTCTCGGAGTTTCTCTGCGTGATAAACTTAGAAATGAGGATATTCGCAGTAGAACCA